CAGCGAATACACTGCAATTTGATAAATTTAAATTAATTTACACAGGATGTAATGCTAAATAAACATTATGTTTAAAAACTTGACGTGACATAAAAAAGAAGTCAATTTTACAAGCGACACTATTAGCCAAAGTAAGTACTCTGGGAAAGAATGATGTGGAACTATAGTTGGTGGTGTAAGATGGAACGACGAATATATTATGTGACCTGGTGCCGTGATTTCTAAAGTTAAAACCAACCATGGAAAGAAGTTCGGAGGAATCAATGTTACCATTCAGTAAATCGTATAAGAACATCAAGTCTGCGACACTTCTTCTAATTTCACATAAAGACACCCCCAAATGGGTTGACTGAAAGTGATATGAGTYACGGTCMMTGGTTAAATTTAATTTACTACAGGTTAATTTTAGAAATTTATATTGAACATTTTCCAACTGATTTATGTAGAGAGCATAATTKGGTGACCAAACCATGGAGCCAAATTCTAAGTGAGACCTAACAAGTGAGAAGTATAAMATTTTCAWCGAGATTATATTTTTGAAATTTTTTGTGTTTCTGTAAATGAAGCCTAACATTTTAAAAGCTTTGTTTGTTATCATATTTATATGTGAAGAATAAGACATATTGGCTTCAAGTAAAATTCCTAAATCCCTAATATGATTGACTCTTGTAAGCGTTTTATGGTCTATTGAGTAATTAAATAAAATAGGTTTATGAAGGCGTGTGAAAGTAATTATACTACATTTATTGATGTTTAATGGTAAACAATTTTGTTTGCTCCAACTTACAAGCTTATCCARATTAGACTGTAAATTTACTGCATCAGAGAGAGATTCTACTGGTGAAAATAATTTTGCATCGTCGGCAAATAATAAAATGTTTACTGAAGAATCAAGWAYWGTGGGTAAATCGTTTATAAATAATATAAACAATAGAGGACCTAAATGAGAACCTTGAGGGACTCCCGAACACACACTAAAATAATTTGAAGTGAAAAGAGATAACTTTACTGATTGGGTGCGGCAAGTAAGATAAGATTCAATCCAATCTAAAAAATTTCCATTAAAACCAATATTAAATCATTTTTTAAGAAGTAATTTGTGRTTGACTTTGTCAAAAGCTTTTTGGAAGTCGGTGTATATGGAATCAACTTGAATATGGTTTTTGAAGGAATTTAAAATTTTAGATTGGTAAAGCAAGAGATTGGTGGGAATTGTCATTTTCGGTCTAAAGCCGTGTTGATTTATGCAAATGTACGGAGAAATAATTGAAGATAATTTTTTAGTGATAATTGCTTCAAATATCTTTGGAATTATTGACAACTTAGAAATAGGTCTATAATTCATAACATCGTGTTTGTCACCGGATTTATGTATCGGGGTCACAAAAGACATTTTCCAAATGTTAGGAAAATAACCAATAGTTAAAGATTTATTKAAMATTAAATATAAAGGATTAACTAATATTGAACCACAACCTTTAAGAAAAGATGAAGGAACACTATCGGGACCTGTAGCGGAGTTAGTATCTAATGAATTCAAATACTCATAAATTTCACTTTGGTTAATATACCATGAACTAAGATTTAGTATATTATTTGAAAAGTCTCCAGAAGGTTGATTATGTACAAATGATTTTGACAAGTCAGAGTCAAAAACACTAGAAAAAAAATCAGCAAAAAGCTGAGCATTTTCCTGAATATTTGAAAACGATGAATTTTTGAATTTTACTGATTCGGGAATATTTCAAACATTTTTCTTTAAAGTATTAATATATTTCCAAAAAGGTTTAATATTTGTTTGAATACTATTTTCAATATGACGTAAATTATCAGAATAATTTTTAGAAGTTAAGATTTTGCATTCTTTACGAAGGCGAGAAAATTCTAAATAGTTTCCAGGCGAAGGGCACAATTTAAATTTTTTGTGAGCTAATT